CGATACTAATAATCGATACTAATAATCGATACTAATAATCGATACTAATAATCGATACTAATAATCGATACTAATAATCGATACTAATAATCGATACTAATAATCGATACTAATAATCGATACTAATAATCGATACTAATAATCGATACTAATAATCGATATATCGAAACAAAAAATCGATATATCGAAACTAATAATCGATATATAGAAAATGGTAATCGATAAAAGAAATCGATATATCGACTCTTATCGACATTTCGATATTGAAAATTGATATCGATATGAATAATCGATATAATGAATTTGAATGTCGGTAATTTAAATTAATATCGATAATCGGAACTGAAAATGGATTTATCTATACATTAGAAATCTTTTTTGTCTATCGATATATCGATATTTGAAATCGATTGTTGTCAAAAGAAATGTGAAAAAATACATATATATATATAATTTGAATTAAATAAATAATTATTTACGCAATATCGATTAATTTTTTCTATATTGAAATTTGAAAAAAAATTACGATAAATCGATATATATATCGAATCAATAAAAATAATCGATTTTGTAAAAAGAAAAATGAAATGAAAAAATATAACTATTGAATTAGCTAAAAAAAAAATTATTAATACAATATGGATTAATTTCGATTGAAATTTAAAAATTATTTAAATAATTTATAATTTTTTTTTATAATTTTTATTTATTTATTTATTAATAATTACTTAATTCGATAAAATAAATCGGTAAATTTCAAATTGAAAAAAATGAAAATCAAATTTTTGGATAAAAGGAATAAAAAAGGTAAATTGAGGAAGTATAGAAAAATAAAAAATGCCCGAAATTTTTTTTTTTTTTAAGTTTGGAATTCTTTTAACGTGATAGTTTATTAAACGAAAATCATAATTATGATAATAATAATAATAATAATAATAATAATAATTAATAATAATAATAATAATAATAATAACATAATAACAATCATCCTCATAGAAACTAAAAAAATGATATAAATCACAATTAAAGCGCGGGGTCCCTTTTGATCCCTATCGAGATATATATATATTTTTTTTAAAAAAAAAACTGTCGATATTTCTATTCAATATTTAAAAATATCGATTATATCGATATATTATCGATATTTTCGAGATTGACAATTTTTTTTTTTTATTTTATACACATACTATATATATATATATATATTTTTTATTTTTTATTTTACAGGATATTGAAAATATTGTTTTCGTTCATATATCTAAATCTAAACCCTTGAAATATGCAAAAAAACAAAATGTCAAGGAAATAAAATTCTTTTTTTCTCTCTTAAGAATTTCAAAAAAAAAAAAAAAAAAAAAAAATTCAATAAATAAAATAAAAATAATTTTTTTCTTTTTGAAAAATTGTCTCTCTCCTTATTTTTTTTTTTTTGTAAAATTTTTTTTTAAAGAGCCCTTCAAATAGAAGGGAGAAATGTTAATTGTTATAAAAATAAAAGAAAGAAAATTCGTTCTTGAATTAAAAAAAAAGGTTGGAAAAAAAAATTTTTTTTTTTGTCAAAAAAGAAAAAATTAGATTAAAAAAAAAAAAAAAAAAAAAACAAAATTCGGTAATTCTTTTTGGAGTATAGAAATATAAAAATTAGTTTAATAAAAATCGCAAAAAAAAAAAATTAATAAATAAAGAGAGTAAATATTGAGAGATCTCATGAAAATTATAATAATAGCTATTATATATAAAAATATATAAATAAATATATATATATTATTATTAATAATAATAATTAATAATAATAATAATAATAATAATAATAATAATAGAAATAATAATTAAATATTTGGTAGGCGTATAAGGTAGATAGACTTACAAAGAATATTTTTTTTTATTTTTTTTAAGTACCTTGTCTATACAAAACAGAATTTTTTTTTCAAAAAAAAAAAAATATAAGATTTAAAAAATAATTAAAATTTTTTTTTTTAAGAACAAATTTATATTTTAGGAAAAAAAAATTATTTTTTTTTTAAAAGAAAAAATTGTTTTTTAAAGAATATTTTTTTTCTAAGTAGAAAAATTATTTTTTAAGAAAAAATTATATTTTAAGAACAAAAAAATTGTTTTTTTGGTTTTAAGAAAAATTTTTTTTTAAAAAAGGAAACAAATTTTTTTTTTTAAAAAAAAAAAAAGAAAGAAAGAATTTTTGAAATTGAAATAATTTTTTTTTTCAGAGATTGCCGACAAGTCCAAAAAGTAGAATATAGAAGATAATAAATTAATTTTAAACAATAGAATAATTTTTTTATTTTTATTTTTTTTTGCGAATTATCTTGTCAAACAAGTTTTCATTTTTATTAATAATTTTTTTTTATATAGAAAGTCCTCTGCTTATTATGCGATTGCATCGTTTTTTTTTTTTTTTTTATAAACTAAAAACTATTTATTCCCCTTGCAACAAAGAATTATTACAATACCCCCTCTTTTTTTTAATATCGATATTTTTTTTCGATATATCAATAATTAAAAACAAACATTATTTTTTCTATTTTTCTAAATTGTCAAATATTCTCTATACATATCGATATTTTACTATCGATTTATTATCGATAATTATTATCGATTTATCGATTAATATCGATATATTATCGATTAATATCGATTAATATTGATATTAATTATCGATTTATCGATATTTACTATCGATTAATTATTGATATTTAATATCGATATTTTTTTCCAAATCGATATATCGATGTCTAAAATATCGAAAACAAAATATTCAATATCCCATATATAAGCGCGCATTGATATCGCAAATATCGATAGAAATCGATTTATCATTATAAAAAAAAAATCGATATATTTTTCGATTTTTCGATATACATATTTTTTATCGATGTATTTCGACAGTATTATTTGAGCTATTTCGTCATTTTATATAAAGAATTATTATTATTTTTTTATTCGATATACATATTTTCTTTTCTTTTTTTTCTCTTTATATATATATATATATATATATATTATCAATTACAAAAAAAATCGATGTATAAAACTCGAAGATTATAATAATTATAATAATATTATAATTTTCTTTTTTCTTTTTTGCTAATTTTATCGATTTATCGATATCGACGAAAAAAAAATTGACAAGTGACCAAAAAAAAAAAATCGATATCCCATCACTAGCACACATCATTGTATTAAATTTTTTTTTCGAATATTTTTCAAAAAAAAAAAAAAATAGTAATAATTCTAAAATTTTTACAACTAAACGCTTGTACTTTTTTTTCTTCATTATTTTTTTCTCTAACGTCACCTTAAATAACAATTTCAATTTTTTTTTTTACCACCATATATATATATATATATACGAAATTTCCTCCATAAAATCCGAAGCACCTTGTTTTTTTTTTTTTTTTTTTTTTTTTTGTTGTAAAATTAAAACATACAATTATGCGAATTTTTTTTTCTCTCTTAAAGTAAAACTACAATTTTCTGTTTTCTGAAAATTTTTTTTTTTAAGAAATTGCCAGCAGTTTTACAATTTGCGATGATTTTACATAATTTTGTTTGTTTCTATTTTCTCGCCGAGAACAAGGGGACAAAAATTGTTATTTTTTTCTCCTTATTATTTTTTTTTTTTTAATATTCTTTTTTTTCTTATTACTTTTTGTCTATTCGCATTTTTATTCTTCTCTCTTTACAATATATATTGTTCAATTAGTGTGTGGGTGAATGTGTATATTCCGATGACAATAATAAAAATATTATTGTTTACAAGTTTCCACAAAAAAATACAATGCAATTTACATTTGGAAAAAAGTAAAAAAAAAAAAAAGAAAAAAATCCACTTGAGTCGATGTTTTTAAAAAATTGTTCGCTTAGTCCATTGAGAGAAAGAGTGTGAAAAAATTATTATTTATTTTAAAAAATTAATATTTATTCAGATATAGTTCGATATATCGATTTATTTCGATATTATTCGATATGTCGATTTATTTCGATATTATTCGATATATCGATTTTTATCGATATTATTCGATATATCGATTTATTTCGATATTATTCGATACATCGATTAATATCGATACGGTTCGATACATCGATTTATATCGATACAGTTCGATATATCGATTTATATCGATACGGTTCGATAAATCGATTTATATAGATACGGTTCGATATATCGATTTATATCGATTCGGTTCGATATATCGATTTATATCGATTTATTTCGATACTACTCGATATATCGATTTATTACGATACTACTCGATATATCGATTTATTTCGATATTATTCGATACATCGATTTATATCTATACCGTTTGATATATCGATTTCTAACAATACAGTTCGAAATATCGAGTTATACAAGGTATATTTCGATATATCGATCTATATCAATACAGTTCAATATAACAATTTATGTCAGTACAGTTCGATATGTCGATTTATTTCGATATATCGATTTTTATCGAAATAGTTCGAAATATTGATTTATTATATAGTATTGTTCGTTATGTTCGACATTATTATTGTATCTATCGACTATCGATGTATCGAATAGTATAGATAATCGATATATCATACGATATTGATAATCGGTATATATATATATCGAAAGTATCGACTATCGATATATCAAAAAGTATTAATTTTCGATATATATATATCGTAAAGTATCGACTATCGATGTATCAATAATCGATATATATCGAAACCCTCGACTATCGATATATCGAAAAGTATCGATTATCGATATGTATCGAATAATATCGTTTTTTCGATATATTGTACAGTATCGATTATCGATATATATCGAATAATATCGATTATCGATATATGACTATTTTTTTTTTTGTTGTATTTCGATAAAAATTAAATTTTTTTTTTAAATTTCGATATCTATTGATAATTTTCAACACCTGTGAATTCGGACCACCTTTGATGGTTTCTGCTTATTTTTTTCACTCTTTTTTTTCTCTCACTCTCTCTCTCTCTCTCTCTCTCTCTCTCTCTCTCTCTCTCTCTCTCTCTCTCTCTCTCTCTCTCTCTCTCTCTCTCTCTTTCTCTCTTTTGAGGGATTCTGAATAATCGTAACAATAGAATTAGTAAAATAAAAAAAAAAAAAAAAATACAATGTATGCTAATAGTACAATTTTCTTTGCCTAGAGATTTTTGTTTTTATTTCTTCATTATTTGTTTATTTATTTATTTATTTTTTTTTATTTACTGTTTATCCTTGAGACCACCAAGTAGCGCATGACTCTCCATACTTGCACTTAAATTACTCAAATTACTCAAATTACTCAATTGTCCCAATTGTCCCAAATTACCTAAATTCGGTTGATGTGCATAATTTCTTATTTGATGTAAACTAATTAATTGATTTGGAAATGATGTTGTATTTTGATTAACAACTGAACCAGCGCCAGGTGTCATACCAGTTGAACTTGTTGGACTTGATTTTTGTGTATTAAAGGCCTCATATAAATAGGGTCTCGACGCTGGATGATGACTACCAGGATAATGTAAATGATTGAGCGGATTTAATGGATGTTGCATTGATGATATTGAATTTATTGATATCGATGATATTGGCGTAAATGCTGAACTACTATTTGGATGTGATGTTGTTGTTGTTGTACCACCAGCGCCAACACCACCACCACCAGGTTGTGGTGTTTGTTGCCTTGAATCATTTTCTAAACCATCACCACGATGACCACCACCACCACCGCCAACTTGATGACCACCCAATAACATTTCACCTTGATTTTGATTTGTCTGATGATAATCACCAGGATGTGGATGTGGATGATGTGGTAAACGATCATGTAATTCACTAATCACCGAATCGGGACTTACTTTTGGCCAATGATAATCTTGATGATGTGCAACAGCAGCCATTGCATGTATCGATGGCCTTAAACCAGTACCAATAATTGGTGGACGTTTATCAGTACGTTCAGCATGTTTTTGCATATGTTTTGCCAAATATGTCTCTTGTGTATATGATTTACCACAATATTGGCAAATATGTGTTTTTAAATGTTTTGATTCCTTATGTTTTGGTATATGTTCAAGGAGGCTTGGCTCATCGGAAAAACATTTATAACATGAATTACATTTATATGGTTTATCCGTTTGATGACAACGGCTGTGCGATTGTAAATTACTCAATTGACTGAATGCCTTAGTGCAACCTGGATGTCGACATTTATATGGTTTATCGCCAGTGTGCGTGCGAATATGCTGTTGTAAATGGCTTAATTGAGTGAATTTTCGTTGACATATCTCACAACGATATGGTTTTATGCCAAGATGTATGCGTGTATGTTGTGATAGATAGGATGAATTTGCAAATGCTTTTGAGCATTGTGTACATTTATAGGGTTTTGCTTCGCGCATATGAATTTGCGTGTGAAGCTGAAGATCCGCTTTGCTACCAAAGATCTGTAACAGAAAAAAGAAAAACAATTTTGATTAGTATTTTTGGTTGATGACATTTTTTTTTTTGGACGTATTAGAATTATATGCTTTTTTAGGGTTTTTGGAATTATTTATTCAAAATCAGATGGATAGAGTCTATACAGTAGAAAATAAATTTTTGATTTTTGTTGATGCTGTATTTTTTTGGGGTATTAGAATTATGCTCTTTTTTGGATATTAGAATTATGCACTTTTAGGGTTTTAGAATTATATGCTTTTTTAGGGTATTAGAATTATACTTTTTTAGAGTTTTAGAATTATGCATTTTTAAGGTCTTAGAATTATGCTTTTTTAGGGTCTTAGAATTATTTATTCAAAATCAGATGAATAGAGTCTACACAGTACAAAATAAATTTTTGGTTCTTGTTGATGCTGTATTTTTTAGGGTATTACAATTATTTATTTATTCCAAATTCAAATGGTTAGAGCCTAGAGTGTACAAAATAAATTTTTGGTTTTTGTTGATGCTGTATTTTTTTGGGGTATTAGAATTACGCTTTTTTTGGGGTATTAGAATTATGCTCTTTTTTGGATATTAGAATTATGCTCTTTTAGGGTTTTAGAATTATATGCTCTTTTAGGGTTTTAGAATTATATGCTTTTTTAGGGTATTAGAATTATACTTTTTTAGAGTTTTAGAATTATGCTTTTTTAGGGTCTTAGAATTATTTATTCAAAATCAGATGAATAGAGTCTATACAGTACAAAATAAATTTTTGGTTCTTGTTGATGCTGTATTTTTTAGTGTATTACAATTATTTCTTTATTCCAAACTGAAATGGTTATAGCCTATAGAGTGTACAAAATAAATTTTTGGTTTTTGTTGATGCTTTTTTAGGGTTTTAGAATTATTTTATTCAGAATCAAATATATGGGTAGAGCCTATTTGTATTGCTGTACAAAATAAATTTTGATTAGTATTTTTTTTATTTTTGTTGATGATGTATTTTTTTGGGCATTAGAATTAGTTATTTATTTCAAAATTATATGGGTAGAGCCTACACACTGTACAAAATAAATTTTGATTAGCATTTTTTAATTTTGTGTTGATGCATTTTTTTAGTGGTATTAGAATTATGCTTTTTTAGGGTTTTAGAATAATTTATTCAAAATCAAATGGTTTGAGCCTATACAGTACACAATAAATTTTGATTAGTATTTTTGGGTTTTGTTGATGCTTTTTTAGGGTTTTAGAATTATTTTATTCAAAATCAAATGGATAGAGCCTTTTTTGTATCGCTGTACAAAATAAATTTTGGTTTTTGTACAGATGTATTTTTTTTTTTGGGTTATTAGAATAATTTATTTATTCTAAAATTAGATGCGAGTAGAGACCTATACACTGTACAAAATAAATTTTGATTACTATTTTTGATTGTTGTTACTGAATTTTTTTGGGATATTAGAATTATGCTTTTTTTTAGGGTTACAGAATTATTTATACAAAATCAAATGAGTAGATTCTATTTTAGAATTATTTATTCCAAAATAAAGTATAGATAGAACGCAATTTTAAACCTTCATAAAATTATTTCAAATACAAAAATTGATTTAAAATTCAAAAAAAATTGACTTCAAAATTAAATTTTCACTAATTTTTCGCCTTCAGGTGTATAAGTGAAGGAAGTTTAGTTGAATTGAGTCAGTTTTATAGCTATATATATATATATATATGCCTTGAGGCTACGCCATGATAGACAAGGTCAGCCTCTCCCATGTGCGCCTGGACCGACTGCGACTCGTTAATATTTATTTATTTATAAATATTATAGGCACACAAGAACCACCTTGCTTAGTATATATATATATATATATATATATATATATATATATATATATATATATATATATATATATAAACACTAATGGACCAAGAAAGCCACATTCTCCCTCTCTATTTACACACACATTCACACATAGAAAATAATTGAGAAACCCTTCACCCGTGTTTTGTTGTTGCGTTCGCTTTAAAATGAAAAAAAAAAAATCCATCCACTCTCTTGAATGGCCACATCAGGTAGCTACGATGACTACGCGACCCCATCTCCTCAAGTCAAAAAAAGGAAGAATTTTTTTTTTCAAATAATCCCTTTAATTATGTTATTTAATTCCCCCCCCCTCTCTCTCTCTGACGAGAGATTAATTTATTAATATTAATATTAATATTAATTAATTAATATTTAATATTAATTAATTAATATTTAATATAATATTAAATAAAATAATTAAAATTAATAATTAATATTAATAATTAATTTTTTCAAATTATAAAAATACATTCCACTATGACTACCAAAAATTGATAGAGTTCAAAACTGGCGCTATACTGGCATCATTATCGCTCCATTACTGGGACAGTACTGGTACTATTATAGCTCAAATACTGGGACAGGACTGATACTAGTGTAGTTCCAATACTGGCTACTAGTATAATTCTAAAAGTGGCCCAATACTGGTAACTTGTAAAACTCCAATACTGGTACAGTACTGGTACAGTACTGGTGCAGTACTGGTACTATTATATCTCAAATACTGGCGCAGTATTTGGTACCAATATTGCTCTAGTACTGGAGCAGTACTGGTACTAGTATGGCTCCAGTACTGGCGCAGTACTGGTACTAGTATGGCTCGAGTACTGGCGCAGTACTGGTACTTGTATAGCTCCAATACTGGCAAAATATTGGCACTAGTATCCACAACAGTACTGGCCTAGGACAGGTACTAATATAGCTCCAATACTGGCGGAGTACTGGTACTAGTATGGCTCCAGTACTGGCGCAGTACTGGTACTAGTATGGCTCCAATACTGGCGCAGTACTGGTACTAGTATGGCTCCAATACTGGCGCAGTACTGGTACTAGTATGGGTCCAGTACTGGCGCAGTACTGGTACTTGTATAGCTCCAATACTGGCAAAATATTGGCACTAGTATCCACAACAGTACTGGCCCAGCACAGGTACTAATATAGCTCCAATACTGGCACAGAACTGGTACCAGTACCACTCCAGTACTGGCACAGTACTGCTGACAGTACCTCTTCAGTATTGGGACAGTACTGCTACCAGTATCCCGCCAGTATTGCGCCAGTAATACATTTTTAATACAAATAATTAAGCTATTTTTGCAAAAAATAGACTGTTTTTTTTTTGAAAAGAAAAATTTTTTTTCTAAATTACAAAAAAAAATTTATTTTATTTTTAATACATTTCATTTTTTTTTTTGTAAGTACTGAGAAAAATAATTGATAATTTAGAGAAAGGGAGGGAGAGCGAAAAAAGAGGGGGAAAAATTAGAACAAGAACGATACACACATTGGCGTAGAATAGTAAAATAATAAAAATAAAAAAAAAAAGAGACAAGGAAAATTGTAAGAAATGTGTCCGCCCATTTAAATGAAAAAAAAAGAAAAAAAAAAAAACCAACGCCTCTATTATTGTAATTAAACACCAGCAGCTGTAAGTTATGCAAGAGCAAAACTAATGGCAAAAGGAAATCTCCTGCTCATTGGTCCAGCTGCTCTAATTATTGACTGCATTCTTGTAACCTTAACTCTCTCAGTCGTTAGTCGACAATTATTATGATTATTATTGCGATTATGTATATATGTATATGTATATACATATATATGACGACAAAATTGACAAAAACCAAGAAAAATCACATATCAGTTACAAATAGTAATAATAATAATAATAATAATAATAATAATAATAATAATAAAATATACAGGTAAATTTTTTTTTACCACCAAAAAAAATTGATATTTTATTATGAATTAGAAAGAAATTTGTTTTTAAGCCCAAAAATCAATTTTTCTCGATATATATATATATATATATATATCGATTCTTTTCGATATAAATCGATATTTTTCGATATATATTGATATTTTGCGATATACATCGATATATATATCGATTCCTTGTATTTATATTGATTTTTTCGATATATATATATATATCGATTCCTTTCGATATACATCGATATTTTTCGATATATCGATTCCTTGTATTTATATCGATTTCTTTCGATGTATTCTTACTATCTATATATCGAGAGAAATCGAAATATATCAAGAGAAATCGAAATATATCGAAATAATCGATATTTATCGAAATAATTGAGATATATTAAAATAATCATTTAAATTGAAGTCATCGATGTTAATGAAAATAATCGAAATAATCGATGTTAATCGAAATAATCGATGTTAATCGAAATAATCGATATTAATCGAAATAATCGATGTTAATCGAAATAATCGATGTTAATCGAAATAATCGACGTTAATCGAAATTAACCAATGTTAATATATATATATATATATATATATATATATATATATATATATATATATATATATATATATATATATATATATCGAAATAATTGCTATATATCGAAATAATCGTTATATACTAAAATCTTCGATATTGATGGAAATAATCGATAATTTATCAAAATAATCGTTATATATAGAAGTATAATCGATTCATCGTTATATCGATATAATCGTCATATATCGAAATAATCAATACAGAATCGATATATAAAAAATCATAGATTCCGATGGCAATAAAATAATTTGCAATACAATCGAAATAATTGAATTATATCGATTTTCAAAAAAAAAAAAAAAAAAAAAAAAAAAAAAAAAAAATTTCCAATATATGCAGACATTTTTTTTTTTTCAAATCACATTTCATTTCATTTTTTTCATTATTATATTTTTTTTTTTTTTGAATCAACAATATTGAATGACGAATTCAAAATTTCTTGCATTCAATTATAAATCAGTAGAATATAGATGAATTGATTAGTCAATATTTATTTTTAATTTTTGTATACATTCATAAAATAGATTTTTTCTTTTTGAATTATTAAAAAGGATTATTGTTCATTTCAAAATAATTATTCAAAAAAAAAAAAAAAAAAAAATTATTGCATGATATATATATAAAAT